AACAATACTGTGAACAGGTATTCCATTTAGTTCGATTCTATAAGACAGACAATTACAACTACCTTTACTTGTTGTCCACCTACAGCTAACCGTACGAAAAGGCAGTTGTTGTCATCATCTCTAGACTCCACCTGAAAAAGAAACTGATAATTTGTTGTTTTTGACGCAGCAAAAGTAAAGTGACGATAAAAATTCAGAACAAACATAGATGCTGGAATCTTGTTACGGTCACGTAAAGAAGCGAGTTTCAATTGAAAATATGTTCCAAAAGAAAATACGACGCTTGTGACCTTGAGATAGAGGGAGGAGAGTTGAAGGACTGCCCGTGCGAAACTGGGATTAACGCTAGTCTGCGTTCATACTTTGCGATGGGCGAATAGGGGAACCGCGGAAATGACGCTTTGGGAGGTGTTGCCAAGAAAGTATCGATATCGAGCGGCGCTGGTCAATACCTATACAATTTTGGTGGCGAACTCTCCAAAATATCGACTCTCCCAAAACGCCCGATCGATACTCATATTTTCTCAGTAGCGCATTTTTTTATAAGAAGTCCATCAAATAGTCGCAAACCTATTAGAGCTGAAAATGCGGTAAGCTGAGGTAAGACCATACCTTGCCATAATGTCCCCTGAACCGGCCAGTTGTAACTCGTATTAAGGAATCCTTTTTTATAACTTCATCTATTTGCTCATCTTTACCATTCTGAAACAAACAGTATCACACGAATATACATCAGGAACCAACTGAGTTTTACCTTTTCACCCTTCTTCTTATCTTTTTGCTGTGGTGTTGCGCCAAGACCAAGTCCATTGGGGCGTCGAGGAAGTATACGCAACGGAACTACCTGCAAATGAACATTTAGGAGGGGAATGGGTGGATTAGAAAGGATATACCTGAGGTCTTCGGCCAATGCCTTGTCCTTCCTTCCATCCACACCCTCTCAGAATTGCAAGCCCATATTCTTCAATAGGCACCTGCAATATGCGCTATCAACACAAAATAGCCAACTTGTGAGCATATCGATTAGGTGATTGCATAATTTTTCTGTCATGGTCGCCTGGAAATGGGTTTTAGAAGGTGGCTCCAGGCTGAATGAGCAACCTGTGGGAGTGAAAAGTTGGAATGTCAGAGATGACAATCACACAGTCACAGTCACTGCGCAGATTACAATGGTCCTAGACTTCAGTCATGACCGTGTTGGAACTAATCAAAGCAAATCGTAGCGTTTTGTTGTTTGAGATAACTGGGCTGTTTAAGCCCGGATGTTTATCAACGAAGAATGCGAGTTATGAAAAGTCACCCCAGGCGGGAGTCGTACCTACGCTTCCGGCCGAGTGCCTAATCCGTTACGGCCACCGAGCCCGCTTCAGACCTCTCAGCTTACCGGCTTTTAGCTTGTAGCTTACAGCACTCACAGGCCGTTTAACTTGGTGAGCCGGTCAGCCGTAATCGTTAGACATCGGCATGGAACTGCGAAGTGAACCGCAACTTTTGCCCATAACTCAGCATCCTTGTACTAATGTAAAGCCCGCTTTGCGGTCATGCCCAATCATCTCACGATTACGGCTACCGGGCCGCTCCACCTTCGCCAAACGTGTGAGTGCTGTAAGGTTACGGCATAAGCCGTTAAGCTGAGAGGGTAAAAGCGGCCCTGGTGGCGGATAGCGCACTCGCCCGGAAAGCGTGAGGTGCGTGGTTCGACTCCCCGCCTGGAGCACGACTATTTGCGCCATAAATCAAGCATTCTTGTTATAGCAAATCGTAGCGTTTTGACTATAGAGCAACAACAAATTCAAATATATTCTGCACTAACCGCTCCATAATCGGCGTCTTCAACAACTTTGGACTCCTCCTCAACGACTATCGCATCCGTTGAAGTAGTTCCCTGAAGTTGGCATATGAGAAAACACGCGTATATCGAGTGAACGGAGAAATCGTTTTGGAAACTCACATTCGTCTCCTCAAATGGCTGATCTTCTGTGAGAATGGCGAGTTTCGCTTGCTCCTCTTCGGTAAGTTTGCCTTCTTTCTGCAGCTCCAACAGCTTAGCTATTCGCCAATCTCGTTCTTTGACTAGAGGAATTACAACGGCCTCCTTTTTCCTACTGTCTTCATCATCCCTAGAGTAATTGGTGACAATCAGTGGAGAGGAGATTTTGTCAAGAAAGGTATAAGCACACTACAATCAGAAGGAATTCAGAAGGAAAAAACGAAATTCACTCACGGGGCATCTCCATCCTCAAAATGAGTGAGTTTGCGTTTCTTATTTCTCCTTGGCTTCTTCGTCGTGCTCTCTTTCCTCATCACTGTCAACACTCACTGAAAAATTGGATTTTAATCGAAGAACAGGTTATTAGAAAAATTGGATTTTAATCGAATAAGAAGTTATTAGACAGAATTAAGAATTAAAAGATAAGGAAATAAATAACTGTGTACTCGGGAATTTATGTTAACTAGGATGGATGCTAGAGGGCGCCGTTTGCGAAAGATAGAACGAAAATTACTGAGCTTTTGTGATATGAGCAGTTTTTTGTTAGTTCCTTGAAGAAAAAAGGAGCACGAAAAAATTACCCTATTTTAAGAGTATAAGACGCATCACGAAGCGAAGGTGAGGGTCCACCTTCGCTTTGAACAAAAAACACACAAGTAATTCTACCTCATTTCGCTTTTGCAAGCTTTTTGTTTGTACTTGTATTGTAAATATTAATGATCAATATCCAGTGAGAAAAACTGAGCACCAACTGGAAGGTTAAACTATGCAGAAGGAGAGGAAAACCGTTGTTTGTCCACCAACCTTTTGAAAAAAAATGCACCTTACCCCAGTAAGTAGGGTATTTCTCGGTTCTGTTTCATCTCAGAGCCTATGTCCAGGGTACAAATGACCCACAAAACCACTGAGCACGATAATACACTCAGACATCTCAAAGGGTTCAACAGGTCACAGAAAGTCTTTCACAGATTTCATCTACAATTAGATGTTTAGCACCTTGAGCTCCGAATATTTTTCATCACTAGTGGATAATCGACATAGGTCATTACAGTGATTAATTTCGGGCCTTCCATGAAGGTTAGAGCATGCGAAACCCTAACTAATATTTAGTATCCACAAAAACAACCAATAATTTGCAGAATGTTAGGGAGTTTGCGCATTTTTCGTTTATGAACCTTATTGGTTGTAGAGATATGTGCTATTACTGAATAGATCAGGGAGCCGAAGTTTTTTTTGAGTGCGTTTATACTCAGCGACTCAGTCGTTCGTAGCGTTCGACACAGTGGCATTTTGGTGATGTGAGGTTATTTGCTGCTTAACTCCACACAAGGTTGGCAAGAAATTTTATTTGCTGGCCGACGTTTCGGTGAGTTCACCTTCTTCAGAGCCTGAAAGGGTGGAAGTTGATTCA